CCAGCGCTGCCGGGCGCTTGGCCCCCCCTCCCCCTTCCCCTCCTTCTCTTCCAGCCGGCAGCCGGCAGCCTTGTCACTTCCCGGGCTGTGGAGGGGGAAGGGGGAAGAAAAAGACCCAGCGCTGCCGGGTGCTTGGCTCCTCCTCCCCCTTCACCTCCTCCTCTTCCTCTTCAAGCCGGCAACCGGCCGGCTTGTTCCTCCCAGGGCGGCAGCGGCGGCGGCAGGGAAAGGGAAAGGGCCTGGCGCTTGGCTCCCCCTCTCCTGCTTCTGGCTACTTTTGAAACACCCGCCGGCCAGCTGGGGGGAAATGCCAGCTGATCGGCGGTTCCAAAATGGCGGCCCACTATTTTCTGGAGATTCCTCGCTTACCGAGGCGGCGAAAATGGCCGCCCCTATGGAGGATCCTCGCTGAACGGTGAGTTTTTGCCCCATAGGAACGAATTAAACAGGGTCTGATTCGTTCCTATGGGGTTTTTCTTTCCGTTTAGCGATGTTTTCGTACAGCGACGTTAATCCTGGAACGGATTAACGTCGCTGTGCGGGGCACCACTGTATATATATATATCAGGGTTTTTTTGGAAATTTTACATCTCCAACCCACTTACAACTGCATATATTGCCCTATAATCAGCAACAGTAATATAGGAAAGATGTGTAGGAATGGTTTGACCTGATTCATAAATTCTTTTAGTTGAATTTCTACAGTGCTTTTCACTGTGGCTTGCAGTTAGTTCATCGTAATCTACATACTACTAAGCATGCTTTTTTGTAAGAAACAAACCTTAAATAGTTTGCATTTTTGTATGTCAAAGCTAGTAGCATTACAAAATACTCATTACAACCTGACTCTTTATTATTTCAGTAAATTAGATCAGGATGCAACCAATTGAACAAGCATTTCCAGAATTTTTTGTGCAAAAATGTGGAACGGCCAAGTATAATCTGTACTCACAAGGAGGCTCATTTAATATATCAGAAATATATTAAAACATATACTGTAATATGAAATTATTCTTTGTAAAAGCAACAGTCCTGCAAAATAATTCCCTTATAAGGGATCAATTCTTGCAAACACTGCCAGTATCTTTGTTCCATTGACACACCAATTGGAATATGGGTTCTCTAGACTTCCCTCCTCCACTCCAGAAAAACTTCTTAGTGATAATTCTGAAATACTGGTTAACTGTGTCTTTATCACATGTCGGAAGAGATAAATAATGAAGATTTGATGTGCACCATTTTCAGTGTAGTGTTTCCTTATAGATCTCAGGATATCCAAACAAAAACAAAACTTTTTAAAAAGGCCAAAAACATAGTAGCACGTTAAAGCTGATGTATTACAATGTGGCTTTTTTTATAAATACATCTTGTTAAGTGGATCTGCATCTCAAGAGTATCAGTTGTATTGATAAAGTTACCAATGAGACTATTGCCATGAAGCACCTGCATGGTTCACCAAGACACACAATTCAATGTCTATAAAAGTCTATTTTGGACATTGTTAACTACTTCAAACTATAAGTACACACACGAAATAGCAAGAAACATCTTGAATTCACTCCATAACATTCTTAATCAAAAATTCAAATTTTTTTAGAAATATTACCAAAGTACCAGATAAGCTAGCAATTATTTTTGGCAGGACACAGACAATTTTTTTAATTTTTCTAAATCCAAAATTTTCTCATACATTTTAGATACCATTAGAATTCCACCTTCAGTTCTTCAAGTCCAATGCTTACAGCTGAGAGACTGTTAATACACAATTAGATGTACTGAGCCTTGGCTTGTTATAAAAATAATGAACACTTAATGTCCTGTATGTTTCTTGTAAGATGTTGCTATTTACCAACTGACCTCCTGAATTGATGCTTGTGATCAAAATCTGAGGTTTTAGTAAGCAATAAGGTGAACAATATTATAAATTCTTAAGGAAATGCTTTATATATTACACAAATGGATTTCTGAAAACCAAACTAAACCGAACTAAAGTCTAATAGCATCGTAAAGACTACTAAGCCTTATTTGGCTTAAGCTTCATCAGAAGTTGGGCACTGTAATCCAAACACATTTTAAGGTGTTGTTTTTTTCTGCAAAACCCTAATAAAGCCATGCTCCAATATCTTTCCAGTGAGAGCTTACATAATAAAATTAAGGCAACAAATACCAAGATAAAAGGGTTTGATCTGTTTGCAATGGTGGTCATAGATATTATTTACTTTGAGTCTGGGGTTTGTTTTTTAATGGATCTGTTGGTGTCTGTTGTTGCAATATGTCGCTTTTTCTTTCTCAAAAACAGCCTAAAAGATAAGTTATAGTCAAAAAAACTCCCTGAAATGACTAAATTATTTTTAGAGGAAATAATCCTGCTTACAACTTCTTTGAACTGTTGCCGTCTGGCAGAAGATACAGAACAATTAAGACTCGGACTACACGTTTTCTGAATAGTTTTTATCCCTGAGCTATAATGGCACTTAATAATGAACTTAAAGACCACCAGTAGTGAATAGTTGGGCAGTTTTACTTAGCCTGTGATGTAGACGTTTGTATTTTTCAGTGGAGGGATTTTTAGTGGGTGCGGAGTGTTTGGGGATTTTTTTATGTGTGTGCATGTGGGTCTGGTCTCTGGGTGTCTGTGTGAATTTCGTTGTATGTGTATACTATGTATAGACTTACAAAGACAATAAATTTATTTGAATTTGAATTTTGAATTTGTTACATTAAAAAAAATAATGACATTACAAGTTATATTTTTTGAATATACTGTCATTATGATATTGCCCCACCTCAAAATAGTGTTTTACAGGTAATGAATGTCATTATTGGCAACATACTCTTTCTGAGTTCAACTCCACCTAGAGAGGATTACATATTGAAGCCTTCTGTATATATCTACCATTAATTTATCCATGGAATTATATTTGCTCCCTGGTTATTAATTCGCAAGACAAGTAGTAAAATGTCTGGAATCCTAGTGGTATTCATGTAAGGTTTGTGTAACATGCTGCACCTAATTAATGAGCTGCCAGGGCACATCTCAGTTCTGCAATTAGATGAATGACCAGGCACCCACAACACAAAATTCAAGGAGGAGGAAGGAGAATGAGAGAAAGAACTAGGCTTCTTAGAGGCTCAGGAGAGGACTGCAGAATCATGTTTCTTTTCCTCGCTGACTGTCCTGTTGCACAGATATGCCCTACCAATCTTGCCTTAAATATCACTAAAAGATTGCAACATTAATCTCAATCATAGGTGGTTATCATGATTTACAATTATGTACAATACACACATACACAATCTTCTATGCTATTGAGTCATGAAATATTGACTGAAATCTTGTTGTGCTATAACACAAAATTCATAATTTTTGGAGGAAAATTGCCTCAAATTAAGAAACTTCCATAGGCATTGCCATCTGTTCATGTCAAGTCGCATGACTCTGCATGATAATCCTTACAGAGATATCTTAACTAGAGACAGTTAATTTTCAAAACGTTATACCTGTTGCAATAAAGGACAACAAGATTTGAGTTGCGATTTACAAAGGGTTTATGAGCTGTATCTCAATGAAACAATCTGTATTCAATGTCTGAATGAAAACCTTAAATGCCTACATGCAAATTATAGAGCAATATGATCGAGTTAACAGGAAAAAACTCCTTTACAGTATCTCAAACCCATATACAGGTGACTGTGTCTTTTTTTTTTTAAAGGTAAAATACAAAAACATAGCCATGCAAGTGAGATTTCATACTTCAGACTTTTGCAACAAAACACACTGCACAACTATTTGTGTTACTAAAACAGCAAACATGACTAGAATGATAGTGCACTACCCACGACTTCACATACACCAGCAGCAAAATACCAAGCAAACTCACACTGTTCATATCTGGTATGCTGACATCATCCAAGTCAGAAACAATGCTTCCCCTACGATTAGAACGGCTAAAATAATCAGCTGCAGTTTCACTATGATCAGAAAAGTCAGATGACTTCAATGACAAACACAACATATGGACAGAAAAATGACAGAATAAAATATTTCAGAAAACACAATGTAATTTGTGTTATTTTTTGTTTGTTTGATGGACATGGTCTTAAAAAAACACACAAGTTCACAGTAATCAAGAAACAGCCACCAGCCCAAAAAATGCAGTTGAAGATCCAAAATGAAAATGTGGAACACTCAACAAAATCAAGTATCTTGGAATCCTACTAAATGAACAACGTAAGTGCAATATAAGTTGGAACAGACGTGACTCAGAGCAGATCCCTTAAGATAAAAAAATGTGATTCAAAGCAAAAAGTAAAACTCGTTTTGAAAACATGCATTATACACTGTATTTTCAGTTCTATTGTGCAGCATGGACTCATGAAAAAAGATAAAGGCACTTGAATTTTGGATTTATCACACAAAGTTATTGGATTAAGAAAGAATGACAAATGAATAATCACAAAGAAATCATAAAATTTATAACATGCAAAAACCCCTAAAATAAGTAAAATACAGATTGATCATAATTCTACTGGAATTTTGTTTTGGAATAAATGGCATCCTATATGCCAGGGTGCCAAACTGCAGCTAATTAAAAAGGTACTAGCTGAATGCCTGGCATATGATCCAATATCTTGTTAATTATCTAAAATTTGCCACTCCTGAGGGAGGGAGGGAGTAGTTTATGTATTTACAGTCATGGCCAAAAATATTGGCACCCTTGCAATTCTATGAGAAAATGCAACACTTCTCTCAGAAAACTGTTGCAGTTGCAAATGTTTTGGTACTCACATGTTCATTTCTTTGGTCTGCATTGGAACAACACATAAAACAAAACAGAGAAGTCCAATCTGATACAATCTCAAACAGAAACCCAAAAATGCACTGAACAAAATTACTGGCACCCTGTCTAAACTGTAAGAAATAATTGCTTTTCAAGCATGTGATGCTCCTTTAATTTGTATTTAGACACACCTGTCACAAGTAAGAGGTGTGGACAATATAGTAATCACACTTGCAACCAGTTAAGATGGAGAAAAGTTGGCTCAACCTTCGTGTTGTGTGTGACACTGAGCGTGGAGAAAAGAATGAAGTGTAAAGAGTTGTCTGTGGATTTGAGAGAAAAAATTGTGGAAAAACATCGACAATCTCAAGGCTACAAGGTCATCTCCAGAGATCTTAATGTTCCCGTGTCCACTGTGCACAATATCATCAAGAGGTATACAGCCCATAGCACTGTAGCTAACCTCCCTGGATGTGGACGGAAGAGCAAAATTACTGAAAAATTACAACAGTTGTTTGAATGGTGGATACAGAACCCAGGTTAACTTCCAAACAAATTCAAGCTGATCTGCAGACACAGGGTACAACAGTGTCAGCTCGCACTATCCTTCGCCATCTGAATGAAAAGGGACACTATGGAAGGAGACCCAGGAAGACACCACTGCTGACACAAAGGCATAAAAAAGCAATGGAGTATGCCAAAACTTATGTGCCAAAACCACAGTCTTCCTAGGAGAACATACTGTGGACAGATGAGACAAAAGTAGAGCTTTTTAGTACAGGACATCATGACACTGTTTACAGAAAAAGAAATGAGGCATTCAAAGAAAAGAACACAGTCCCTACAGTCAAACACAGTGGAGGTTCAAAGATGTTTTGGGGTTGCTTTGCTGCTTCTGGCGCTGGATGCCTTGACTGTTTGAACGGTATCATGAAATCTGATGATTACCAAAGAATTTGGGGAGGCAATGTAGTGGCCAGGGTCAGAAAGCTGTGTCTCCACCAGAGGTCATGGGTCTTCCAGCAGGACAATGACCCGAAACACACTTCAAAAAGCACTCAGAAATGGTTACAAAACACTGGAGAGTTCTGAAATAGCCAGCAATGAGTCCAGAACTAAATCCCCATAGAACACCTGTAGAGAGATTTCAAAACAGCAGTAGGGAGAAGGCATCCTTCAAATCTGAAAGCCCTGGAGCAGTATGCCAAAGAAGAGTGGTCCAAAATTCCAGTAGAGAGGTGTAAGAAACTCATTCATGGTTACAGGAAGTGTTTGATTTCAGATCTTTTTTCCAAAGGGGGTGCTACCAAATATTAAGATAAGAGTGCCAATAATTTTGGCTAGTGCATTTTTGGGTTTCTGTGTGGAATTGTATCAGATTTGATTTTTCTTCCCTGTCTTTTTGTGTTGTTCAAACGGAAACCAAAGAAATGAACATGTAAGTACCAAAACATTTGCAACTGCAACAATTTTTGGAGAGAAGGGTTGCATTTTCTGACAGAATTGCAAGGGTGCAAATATTTTTTGGCCATGACTGTATTTAATTTGTATACTGCCCCTTAGTGCAATGTACAATTCTGTAAAATCTCCCTAAGATTCTGGCCTTTGTTAAAATGATCATAGAAGGTAAATTTATGGGGAAACCATGAAAAGGAAGAGAATTCCTTGGATTAAATAAAACTTTAGAGACCGGTTTTGATGCAATTCAGTATCATTATTTAAGGGCATTTTCTTAAGTTCTTTCTTCCTGTGGACTTCTGTGCTCTTCGGGACAGTAGGACTTTGAAATGAAAATCAATTTATCGCAATTACCAACTTTTGCAACATCACAGGAATCACTGCAATCTCATATATTTGCTAGACTACCTGACATGGTTTCAAACACATATATATTCATCAGGATAACTGCATTAAGGACTCTGATAGTACTGCCTTCATTATTTTTCAATCTAATCAGTTTTCAGATGTTTCAAAGGAACACAAAAGGATACTGTTATGAAATTTGCCACTTGATATAAAGCTAAACAAACCAACCAAAGCAATAGACTTTTGCCCCTCTTTGGCATTAAACCCCTCAATTTACACAGCCATTAAATACACATTGATATTTCTACACGGCTTTCTCTCAGTCTCTTTTTGGACTGAAGACTAGTATAAATTATTCATTCTTAAGCCATTAAACAGTCAGGTACTCTAGTCTCTGAAGGGCTCTCTCTATTAAACAGGTGGGAGTACAAGGTTCTCCAGATGTTGGACTGTAATTCACAACAGCCCTAGCCAGTGTAACTAATGGTAAAAATTATGGGAGTCTGTCTGCCATTTGGAATGTTCCTTATTCCTGCTTTACCAGGCTTTAGAACACATCCCTTGCCCAAAGCAGGAAAACAGAAAATATATCTCTCATTGAGCCGATACACCTCATGGTGCAGTGGTTAAAGGATAGTACTGCAGTAAAGACTCTGCTCACGACCACAGTTCAATCCTGGCTCAAGGATGACTCCATCTTTCCCAGGTCAGTAAACTGAGTACCCAGTTTGGGGGTGGGGAGGCAATGTGTAGCCTGCATAATTAAGTTGTAAACCATCCAGAGAGTGCTATAAGCACTACAGATCAGTATATAACCAACACACTTTTATGCTTAGATCTACAGCATGTCAAATGGTCACAGTCAATAGAATTTGAATGTTTCAGATTAGGGCCAATGGTGAAAATTCCACTGATGTAATAAAAAGAATGATGCTTAAACAAAGATTCTAAAATTACTCCTTAGGCCAAATGTTAAATGTTTAAAACAATTAAATTATAAGTTAGCACCTTTGTTCTTCCAACTCCCAGACTTGCCAGTAGAACAGTACCAGTATTACTATATGCGGATGACAGTAATACTTTCTAGAATACCTATTGAGCTGAGGAAGGCTTTGAGAAAGCTCTCCTCTTATTGTGAAGATGAATCCCTGAGAATTAATTTCCAGAAAACCAAGATACAGTGGTGCCTCGCTTAGCGATTGTTCCGTTTAACGACGAAATCGCTTAGCGATGACTTCTTCCGGAGCGTTTTTGCGCTTCATTTAACAATGGTCCCTATGGGCAATTTTCACTTAGCGATGGTTGGGCCCATGCTTTGCATAGCGATTAAATTTTGGGTCCCCTGTTTCGTTTAACGATGGTTTAAACAGCCTCATGTTTGCTGTTTTTTAAATGTTTTCCTGTTATTTATAAAGTTAGAGTTTACTGTTTAAAATGTTTGAAATCATAAAGTGCACTTAATAAACCCTTTGTTAACCAAATTTGACTTTGTTCTGACTCTTTTTTAATTTATTGTTGTATTCTTTTTCTCCCATTGAGATGCACTGAATAAGTTTCAATGCATTTCAATTGGGGAACCGCGTTTCGCTTAGCGATGTTTCCTATGGCGATTTTCGCTTAAGGACGGCAATTTGTTCCTATTGGAACGGATTATCCGGTTTTCAATGCATTTCAATGGGAAACCGTGTTTCGCTTAGCAATGAAATCGCTTAGCAGCGAATTAACATCGCTAAGCAAAGCACCACTGTAGTTGCCTTTGGGCATAGAGCAAAATAGAGAGTATGGTCAATAAACAGAAACTGTACTGAGCAGGTAAAAATCTTTAAATATCTTGGGGTAGTTCTACAAACATCGGGCTCTAGGCTTCAACCTGCAGACCAAGGAGAAAGATCAGCAAACAGCATAGTAAAATTTCACTACTCTCAAGGGGGGTCATTTGTTCCAGCAGCGCTAAAACTCTATAAGGCAAGATATTATTCCAACTGTTATATGGGTATTCTTAGGGTCAGTCAGTGAACATTTTGCACCTAAGGAAAGGGTACAATCCAAATTTTTAAGGACTATTTTACAGGTCCCCAGATGTCTCAAATGCCAGGACAACACTGGAGACAGGATGCCTAAAAGCAGAAGCCTGGATTAGCATCCTGTCTATAAACACATGGTTAAAGGCCTATTTATCCTGCAAGGGCTGCTTCCCCTGATATTCATTGGTCATTTCCAATCGAACTGCGACATATCTGTTCAGAGCTATATGATGAAAACTGGTGTCGATCCCCATGCCCTTTTATTATATGGATTAGACCAGGCAAAAAAAACCTGTTAAGCAGAGAATTGAGGATACTGAGCACCAATCAGATCTTTCCAGCTAACAAAACACTATGGCAAGGACCTATATTAAAAATGTTATAGAACCAGCTAATTATCTAACATAACTGGAACTAAAAGGGTTTAGGAGAGCTTTTACGTTGGCAAGGTGTGCTGCCCTCCCCTCTGCTATGCTTGAAGAGGTACAAGAATGCTGAGAGGCTGTGTTCCTGCCCCCTTGGTGAGGCAGAGTGAATGGAGCATGTTTTTCCGCTGCCCACATTATGCAGAAGCAATAATCAGATTACTACCCCATTGACTGAAAACATCCTTGGCCGATCAGAGAAAACTAGACTTCAGTATCTCCTCTCGGACAGGGATAGCAAGCTATCATTCAAGGTAGCTGGGTTCTATCTGCCGATTCTCAGGTTTCAGAAATTTCTCTATACTTGACTCTGGTATTGGTATGGAGGGTATTGAATCACTTGTATATTTGTTTGTTTTATGTCTTATGTTTCAGCATCACAATAATCCATGTTTATGCACGAATCACCAGTGCTGAGGAGACTAAAATTGACCAATTCTATGAAGACTTAAAACAACTTCTAAAACTGACACCAAAGAAAGATGTTCTTTCATGATTTATCTATAAGATATTATATTCATTTATGTTAGAAAATCATATTTCAAGCTATCAGACCAACACATGCACGTATTTCTGAGCTGCCAGGTGACAAGTATCATGCAACAACTTAAGGGATAATAAAACAGAATAAAACTATTTCAAAACTGATGTGTGCACAAAGGGTGAGTAGTGAGAATTAGACCTGTGAAAATTCATGAGCTACAGTTGGTAAACTTACAACACACTAATATAGGTCATTACAAACATGCAACCCCTGCTCACCACACTTTCCCTCCGGCCCCGAACTGCACGATCAGAGGATGCAATGCTCCCTGATTCATCATATGAGAACTATAAGATTCAAAACAAGTAATTAACTCTATCATTATTATAAATATTTGATTGGATCATGATTTACCAAACTCAGTGTGGATTACATACTAAAATACTTAAGTCAATACAACAAATTAAAAAATAATATCCCATATTTTCTTCACAACAGAACTACTGCTAGCAAAACACCCATTATCAAGAAGGATGGGCTCCAGGTAGGTGTAGATTTTTATAGCACAAGGGCCTAAGAGGGAATGAAGTATATACCTCTATCTGGTCTATAAAGAGATACATTAAAGGCACAGAAGTGCACACACAAAGTCAAAGTGCTAAACATATTGGCTGAAATTCTGTTGCTTAATGCAGTAAATTGCATGAAAGTAGGCACACTGAATCAATGTTAATTTGGTGAATCAACTCTTCCATAGCCTCCACTGATTTAAATGGGCCTACTCTAATTACAGCATACTTTAATATAGGTAAAGGTTCCCCTTGAAAATTTGTCGTCATGTCTGACCCTGGGGGCGGTAATCATCCTCGTTTCCAAGCCGTAGAGCCAGCATTTGTCTATAGACAGTTTCCGTGGTCACGTGGCCAGCCAACTAGACATGGAAAGCCACTACCTTCCCACCATGGTGGTACCTATTTATCTACTCGAATTTTTACATGCTTTTGAACTGCTAGGTTGGCAGGAGCTGGAACACGCGACGGGAGCTCACTCCGCCACGTTGATTCAAACTGCTGATCTTTCAACCTTGCAGCCCAGAGGCTTTGCAGTTTAACCCACAACGCCACCACGTCCCTTACTTTAATATAGTAAGTGTCAACTAGAGTAGGCCTATTTGAATCAATGGAACCTACAGAAGAGATGACTCACCAAAATGCTACTGATTAAATGGGCCTATTCTAGAGTAACTAACTATGCTAAGCAACCAGATTTCAATCAACATCGGGGTAAATGGCAGATGTCCCACTGCAGTATCATTTTCACACAAGGAAAGTATTAATTTACATGAGAAAAGTAGAGAGGCTCATTTGGGGACACAATGGCTAACCTACTCTTAAATCTAATCCTAAGTAATACCATAATGTGTGATACCAAGAATCAAACTTGCTATTGCATACACAGCCTCCAACTGGATTTTGTTTCTTCATCACATGAAGGAAGGATGGGTAATTTCTAGAGGTCTGTGGATACAACACATACTAACTACCCTAGACCTTAGAGGGGAGTTTATTTATTTACTTAATTTATAACCTGGCCATCTAAGCTGAAGTCTACTCTGGGCGGAGTTTCTGCCCTCCCATCAGTCCCAGAACAGTCTTTAAAGTAGCAGATTTTTTTAACAAAAATTAAAAATATAGGGGTATCTGGGGTGGGAGAGGGGATAGGTTGCTCCAAAACAAAACAGAATTGCTACTCGCTGTCTCTAGAGGAAAGTAAGAGTGCTGGGGTTGATTTGGGGCCAAGGTAGACCACATGCAGTCCACTGACTGCTTGTCAACCACTCTGCATTGCATCTACCTTCCCTGATATAATGCCCTCCAGATGGGTTCTACTACACCTCCCAATATCCCCAGTAATTGCACTCACTGGGGATGATGACAGTTATACTGTATCACATAAGAGAGGCCCAGATTTGTGGGAGGCAGTGTAGTACTCTATTATCAAGGAATCTTAGGAACTGCCTTTTGACTGGGTGCTATGTTTATGTGGAAAGTCAACAAAGATAATCATATTTCCTACTAGTTTTTACAGTCTTCCGTAAAGTAAATTAGGACTCTATGGTTCATGCATTTATTGAAGGTACTCATTCACATGAATTATTAAATAGAAAAACATTAGTAAAAATTTTAAAAAAACTTGAAGACATGCCGAAAATCTCTCACCACTGGACTACTTCTTGTTGAACTTGTTCTTGAAGAATAACTATATTCAGAAGGCTAAAAGCAAAGTAGGAAAAATGGGGGGTGGAAATATTGGGAGGTTTTTGTTACTCATCTTCACAGGAAATATATCTTGTAAAATGCAAAACAAAAGCCTTGCAGACTTACAGTACGACTATTATATGACACATATGATCCTTCACCATATAAAGATGCCTAAAAAACAGAAAGCAGTGTTTGTAATTAGAGTATAAATGAACAAAGGAAATCAAGCACCCCATAAGATAAACTTGGTGGGCGATCATGCAATCTATTTGAATACAGATGCCAAGGAATCTAGAGAGAAAGAAGAACAGGATGGAGAAAAAGGTAAAATGGCATATTGGAAAATGGAGCAAAGCCCTATTCAAGCGATTAAACCTTTGGGGCAAACAATTTGTCTGCCCACAGCATCCTGCAGGACAAGGAGCAGAGAAGAGAGAAGTGTATTAAAAGGAAAAAGGTTCATCCTGTCCATCTTAAACTAGGTCTCAATTCATTGCCAGCATGTGGCCGAACAGGTTCCTGACAAGACAGAACTTCTTTCTGAGATTTTTTTTTAAAAAAAAACTTCTCAAACCAGCAATTCAGCCTTACCTTCACCAAATGCAAATACAGTGGTGCCTCACATAACGTTTTTAATTGGTTCCAAAAAAAAAAAACCTTATGTGAAAAAAACTTTATGCGAAACACCATTTCCCATAGGAATGCATTGGAAACCGGTTAATGCGTTCCAATAGGCACGGATTGGCGTCCTTAAGCGAAAAAACCCATAGGAAACATTGTTAAACGATACAATGTTTCCTCCATTGGAATGTATTGAAGCCAACTCAATACATTTCAATGGCTTTGCGAAGTCAATTTTTGCAAATTTAAGTGTGTCATAAAAGGGTCAAAAATGGTTTTAAATGCTTGGATTAGCTTCCGCACCCTCTAAAACGGATGCAAAAGTTAATTTGGCTTTGATCTGAGTTTTCGTTAATTTATGCTGAATTTTTCCCCCCCCAACTTTTGACAGCTGTCAAAATCTGACAGCTCCATTGTTTCCTATGGGGGAGAAAAAAATTCACAAAAATTTAACGAAAAGTCAGATCAACGCCAAATTAAGTATGCACACATTTTAGAAGGTGCACTAATGATTCCAAGCATTTAAAACCGTTTTTCAACATGTTAAGACACTTTTGTAATTGAAAAAAATGAACATCGTTAAGTGAAGCAGGGGACCTAAAACCAAAAACGTTAAGCGAAGCATGGTCCCAAAATCGCTATGTGAAAATCGCCCATAGGGAAAAACGTTATACGAAGCACAATCTGACTCTGAAAAAATAAACGTTAAGCGAAAAAAACGTTAAACGAAGCAAACGTTATGCGAGGCACCACTGTATTCAAGCCTTTTCCACACAACAAAATGCATGAGAGAAAGGTAACCAGACTGTAAACCTGAAAGTACAGCCCGTCTTTAATACAATGCCAAGAACAGGGGTCAGGGAACTTTTTTACCTTTTACCCCCCCCAAAAAAAATTTTTATATAAGCCAACATTACCCCCTTGATTTGAAAGGAAGGAAATGATACAGTATTTGATGAAGCCACACTTTTTCCCGCCTTAATTCAAGCCTTGCCTGTTCTTTTCATAGTTCTGAGTCAGTCTCTCACACACACAAACACACATCCACCCTCCCTCCACCCTTTTTTCCTGCCTTAATTCAAGCCTTGCCTGTTCCTTTTTTCATAGTTTTGAGTCAGCCTCTCTCTCTCTCTCTCTCTCTCACACACACACACACACACACACACACATCCATCCACCCACCTACCCTCCAACCATCCATTTTCTCCATACATTTAAATAAGCTTGATGAAACCCTTGGTCTCTCGCACCTTCCTTCCCCTCGTTAATTTGATCCTTTCCCGCCTCCTGCTTGCATTGATTTCCGGAGGAAGCAATCATTCAAAGCCCTGGATTGGTTGCTGGGGCTATTCCACAGCTGTAGCCAATTAAGCTCTCTCTGAATGAACAGAGGATCTACAATTAAACTCTCTCTGAACGAACAGAGGATTTACAAGTGCCTGATGCAACCAGGAAGTAACAGGGAGAGGTGGGTTACAATTTGAAGTCTGGCTGCAGGGGTGGGGGTGGGAGGGAGGGGGGAGTGCTCTGCTCATTACCCCCAGGATTTTCATTTTTACCCCATTTGGGGTAATTTACCCCTGTTCCATGACCTCTGCTCCAATGCATGGCTTTGCAGTGGTGCAAAAAATGACTCTGAAGCATGCATCCTCATGGATCCATATGATTTTTCTGCAGGATCATCTTCCAACCACTGTCCAATTATACGGACCATCAGTGCCCACAGATTACAAGACAGAAATCATGGGTCCCCCATGTTTTTCAGTGACTCAAAACACCAATGTAAGTCAGAGATGCTCATGGATCCACATGGATTTTCACTTTTACCCCATTTGGGTTAATTTATCCCTGTTCCCCGGCTACTGGCCTAGAATATTTAAATATTTAATGTTTAGTAGAAATTAAATTCACAGTGTTCACCAATATTTTATGGATTAGATTATTCATTCTGACATCCAGTAATCATTCTATTTAAGAATAACTGCCAGCCACAGAACAATTATACATGCTAAAAAATTAAGTTTTCATTAAATTTCAGTGCCAAAAATATTTACAATTACACAACATAGTTGTGTATTCACTGCACTGTTTTTATTTTTTATAGTTCACCCACCTTCGAACACAGATGTTTAATCAAATTCAACCACCATACTAACGATCTATACTTAAATGAATCAAACATGTATTCCTTTGCTGAAAGACACTGAAAATTCTACAGCCTTTCCTTATGCTTCAATAAATAAACACACTGAACACATGACAGCAAGCACTAGCAAATGACTCATTTGCCATGCACTAATATCAAGACAGTTATTAACTTTAAACATTAAGTTTGGATTTTTAAGATGAATACTATAAATGTCATGCCACACTATAGAGGGCAGCAGAATTATAACAGAGGGGGGAAATAAGGTTTGGGCATGTGAATTTCTCACTTTGGTCAAAATTCTGCTTCAGTGTTCCACCAACACAATGGGAATGATGTCACCAGAAGCAGAAGCAGCATACCACCAATTAAAGGACTCCTGCTTCAATTCTGGGACAAATGCAACCAAAAGACTAAATTCCATTTTAGAGCAAACCAGCCAGCACAGACCCTTGCAGAAAGCATCTGCAAGACCCATCAGAGCATAGAAACATAACCCCCCGACTTAGCCAAAACCCAAGCTGCAAAAACTCTGTACAGAAAACAAACAGAGCAGATCAGAAATGCACAGAGAACAAAGCAAAAAGCAAGGTAAGTATGCAGGTACCATTGCAAAAGCACAGAAAACAAACAGAGCAGATCAGAAATGCACAGAGAATAAAGGGACAAGGGCAGAAATGCACAGAAATCAAAGGAAAAGGAAGGGAAGCATTCAGGAACCATTGCAAACGCACAAAAAAAAAACAAAGCAGATCAGAAATACAGAGAACAAAGCAAAAAGCAAGGGAAACATGCAAGATACATCAAAAATGGAGGGGGGGAACCAAAAAAGCAACCAAACCCCCCAAGACCCTTCGGAAATGGGGGGAACCAAACAAACAAACCCCCAAGACCCATCAGAAATGAGAAAAAAACACTCAAAAAAGCAACCAACCCCTCCCTCGGAAATGAAGGGGAAATAAAAACAAACAAAACCCCCAAGACCCATCAGAGCACAGAAACATAATCCCCCCAGCCGAAAGCCACACTGCAAAAATACCCACAATAGTTTTTTTAAAGTATAAAGCAGCACCTTACCTTAGCAGGCAGCCTCCTCGGATCACACACTCTCTAACTGCTGAGGCGAAAGAGCTACAAAGAAGCAAACTCGTCGCCACCTACAGTTAGCTATTTGAATTTCCCGCCCTTTTCCCCTGCCTTTTTGTGTTCACAAGTGGAAGCTCTGGTCGCAAGTCGAAGGAAAGTTTTGCGACCAGAGCTATTCGTTAAGTCAAAATGTTTATGGGTAAGGGCATTCGTAAATCGAAGCACTACTGTAGCAGCAATAGTTGCTGATAATGTCATTCCCATTATGATAGCAGAACTACATACCAGCATACTTGCCTTCCTGCCCCAACCCTCCTGAGAACTAATCAGTCTTAATGTGAGAACAGAATTGTCTATTATAGCCAGGATATGTTTGATTTCTGCTTTTTATTATTTTTATTATTATTATCTTCCTTCTGAAAAGAAAACAGAGCAATTCTATGACGAATGTTAGAAAGTCATAAAATGAATCTTAACATGTGCTATCCAGGTTTTGTTTCTATAGCTCTAAAACCCAGTATGTTTTAATGCAGCCCTCTACAGAAGGTAAAATGCAAGGCAATACAATGAGGCAAGGATCACGTCCAGTGAGAACTCTCCATTCCATTGCCTTGAACTTATATAAAAATCAAGCAAGTAAATTATTTTATTTTACCATCATCCACACATAAGCGTCAGTTGTTAAATATATGCAGATTTCTTTTACAGGAAGGGTGGATAATGTGGCCCTCAGATGCTATTGGACCGCAACTCCCATAAACACCTGTCAATACAGCTGAAAAGTCACAAATGTGCAATCCAACACCATTTGAAAGAGCGCACTTTGCTCACCTGCTTTAGAGGCAAAAGAGGAGGCTGGATAGCAAAGTTGACTGTTTTACTTCTTGTATCTACAGGCTCTTCTACCAGGACTTCTTTTTTTATAGGCATTCTGCAACAGCTTCCTAGCCCTTAAAGCCTTCTAAATTCTGAGGCCCCCTTCCTCTAAAATTTATTATTTAGCTTTCTGATATTCACTGGCACAGTTTGTCACGTTCACAAAATCCTAAATAAATGTTTTCATCATCCTGTCTAATCTTGTGGTTCAATTCAGAACCAGGACTGGTGTGAACATTTTTGTGGACTGTAATCATAAGACGCTAAACATTTAATTTAGCTCAGGCAACTGATACTGAAGGCTTTAAAAATTGACAGATTTAACCATCTCATCTGTGTGTGCACCTTTGTCTTTCAAGACAATTTTCCAAATATTCTATCCTTATATACTCTTGCAAATTTAATACAGTGTTTGAACAAACTCAACATACAATGCTTTCAAGCCACAGTACGCTCAGAATGCAACATTAAAGCAGTCATGCAGATTTGAATACGAACCAAACTGGCACTTCTTATCAAACCAGTGTTTACATCTGGAGATGCCTATAGAGAAGAGCACTGTCCTTTAGTTAAAGAATCTTACAATTCTGAAATATAGACATTATATCACATTCTACTAACCCTGTAACTCTTAGTTGTTGCCAATGGATCACTGTACAGAGATGATGACTGTGACAAAAATAAGAAACCATATTACATCTGATGCTGTACATATGAACCACAATGTTCATAACACAAACACACACAGTACAAGGGTTAGCACTGAATAAAGTGACCGCATAATGCAAAAGGAATTAAAATAGATCCAAACTGGTAGGATGATAAAATAACCTGTAAAAATTTGCCCTTGGCATTTAATGAGCATATACTATCCAAAGGACTGCATTTTTTAACTGAATGCATTTTGAAGACAAACTACTTTAAAACAGTTCACCAATATTACAGAAATGTGTCAGCCTTATAGTTTTCCCACACAGGCAAATTCAAAACAGGCAGTCACATCAAAAAACATATGTGGATATAAGTCTGAAGTCATAAATACAGCATTCTTTCTAAGATATAATTCCTTCTAAGTCTAAGACACAAGAGAACACAAAATATTGGCCATTTGTTAAGCTGCACTACAACACAAAAACAGGCAAAGCTTTTTGTGTGATTGTGATGTTAGTTTTCATGCTCTAAGGTAATGATTAAGAAAGAGACTGCTCTGTAAAACAAGACATCCAAAAAACAGAAAAAAGAAAAATTTGCAAACCCGATGATAGCAGGTAGCCGATGGTTTACTATGTCTAAGACTGCTGTAATTTCGCCGATCATAGTAAAATCCACTCTGCCAAAACACATATGAAGTTGTAAAAGGTACTCAAACACAAAATCAAGGAGGACTAAAAATATTGATCTTTGCTCCATTATGCAAAACATGTGACAAATTATAATGCAGCACTAGCATATTAAGTCTGGCTGAGCTAGCAACTATCTCTGTATCAATATGTTCTGTATTACACAACCATTCCCACATGAAACATGCTTTCTAGGGGCAATACCTCTAACAAAATGACAATCAGTGTATCTTTCATATAAATTTGTAGCTACAACATTCACTTTTTCCCCCAAAAAAACTACCTGATGCTGACACAAACAGGAAGTATTTTCAGTATAGTTTAGTACAGCAGTCCCAAACCTTTTTGGGACCGTGGACCGGCTGAACCTCTGAGGAAGGCAGGGCACCCCCCTTGCGCTCTTCGGCGCATACATGCGCGCATGCGCTTTCGGACAAATGCACGAAGCAGTGGGGGAGCGCCTGCCCGCCAGCGCTGATGTGAGCACTCCCCCATCCCTTTGTGCATGGGCAAGAGCCCCTGCATATGCGCACCTACCCACCCCTTCATGTAGGTGCATGCATGAAGGGTTGGGGGAGCGCTCATGCTGGTGCTGACATTCGCACATGTGCGCCAAGCAGCTGTGCATGCGGGGGGCAGGAAGTCTGTCTCCATGGGCTGGCACTGGGCCGTGGACCAGGGGTTGACGACCTCTGGTTTAGTACCTTTAAACAGTGACTTCTGTTCCATTATGGCTGTTAACTACATATTTAAAATTACATAGCTGAAAGCCAATGCAATACTGGTAGACTTTAAAGCACCTTCAAGCATTGTTTTGCAGGGTCCACACAGAAAGGGAGAGTGAAGTAGAAGGCTAGCTACCCTGTTTCCCTGAAAATAAGACCTAACCTGAAAATAAGCCCTACTATGATTTTTCAGGGTGCTCATAATATAAGCCCTACCGCAAAAATAAGCCCTAGTTAAGTGAAACCCAACTCTCCACCATTGTGCAGCATTGTTAAGCAACCAGAAGAGGACATGATTGTATTTAAGTAAATGTAGATTGTTGTACATGAAAAAAATAAAACATTCCCTGAAATTAAGCCCTAGTGCGTTTTTGGAGCAAAAAAGTAATATAAGACCCTGTCTTATTTTGGGGGAAACACGGTAGTAGTACTAGCTTCTGGCAGCGGCTCAGGACTGTTGCAGACTTCTACTTGGGCACCAGCATGGTAGCAGCTGCTCCTCTTTGCCCTCTCTTGCCTCTACAGAGCAGTAGGAACTGCTTACACAGAGACGTCTGGGACACCTCCTTGGTGAGTGTAGAGAAAATATCACCACTCATGTAAGCAGGTGCTACCTCAATGTTAGATCCAGGCCCAAGAATTAAACTTCTTAAAAATTTTAAATAAAAACAATTCAATCTGGAATTTTCCAAAAGATTGCAGTAGCTGAAGCCTGCTGCAAGAGACGTAATAAGTGGCCATGCGTAGAAACAATTATCTTTAAAAATATGCTGAACATAAATGTTGTGAAAGTATGTACCAATGTTTTCTAGAAATCAAGACATATAAGCTGTGTTGCAATAAGTTACTGAAATAGTTTGAGATGTTTACTTCAGTTCAAGTATCTGACCTTATATAGGCTGTTGTTCAATGGAATTTCAAGCACCCTTTATTGAGGGTCTTAATCAAGTAGATTCCTATGCCCACTCCACAGAACAAATATAAAACTAGAAAGATAACATTATTTCAATGTGTTCAACTTTAATATCAGCAAGTCAAAGTATTTCAGAAAAACCTTAATAACACACAGCAATGGAAGGAAATTTAACTTGTTCTTTTTTTTTTTTTTTTTGCTAGCATGTGCTATCCAGGTTCAATTGCATTTTACGATTTCTGAGTCTGATAGCTGTCATTGCACAATGCAGTCAGAATCTGCTCAAACACCAAGATTTCCTTCTGTTTGAAGAGGCATCTTAAACAGTCAATATACCAAGTGTATGGAGGGGGGGAGGTATTAACAAAACCACAAGGAAGATGAAACTACTGTAAACCCTATCTGAAATTACTAACCAACAGATCTTTATGAGAGCTAGAAGACTTCGTCCCGCCGTAAGAATCACTGTAAGTATGGCTCTGTTAAGCAAAAAATTGCAAAAATCATTACGAGCAAGGAGTGACGACATCCAAAGAAATTATTCTGTTGCACTATGCAATTACTTTAGCAAAACCCATTCCTATTTAAAAATATTTTATTTTATATTAAAACTAAAATATAATTCTATAATTACTACATACAATACTCATTGGACCCATGCCACCTTCAGCCTTGGGACAGGATGGTCAGAAGTATCAATTTATATCCCTTTTCACCCTGTACCTCTCCAAAAATACACTGATTCTTTTGCTGGCATATAGTCTTTCCCCTTCAAAAAAACAAGCTCCAAGTATACATTCCATACATCTTTAAAATCATTAGCCTTTACAATTACACGTCTTATTTTCATTTCACGTTAACTTATATCATTGTTTACTAAGCTCCACATTTCTTTATACCAGTCTTCAAAACTAATTTGTTTATCACTTTTCCAATTCTTTGCAAATATTAATCTTGCTACTGTAACCATTATAACAATTAACTCTTCCTGTTCTTTTTAAAGACCATCACTCTTAATTATATTTAGGAGAGTGTTAATTGGTGATATCTGAATATCATATCCAATAATTTATCTATTTTCTTTTTTTAAAAGTGCCCATTCTTTATTTTGCATGTTCACCACATATGTAAATAACTTCCTTTTTCATTTTTGCATTGAGATGGTATTTTTTTTTATTATATTCAATCTTACTGGAGTAAAATACTATCTTCATGCTACCTTATAACAATTTTCTTTTATCCTTATAGACATATTCTTCCTTATTCTTTGCGACCATATCTTATTCCAATCCTTTATTCTCTTTATTTCATCTACAATTTTTTCTTTAAAAAGTAAGCCCTCCAATTTATTGGAGCATTTTGACATTTCCATCTCCCTCCATATTAGGCTCCTATTAAATGTAATAATATCTGATATTAGTCTAAGCTGATTTGAGATGTAATATCATTTAATATTAGGTAGTCCAAGCTCTCCTTTTTTGTGTGGAATATACCCCAGATTCTTATTAATCCTTGTTCGTTTCTTTCCATTACAGTAATTATTTATCAGCTTGAGCATTTTGACATTTCCATCTCCCTCCATATTAGGCTCCTATTAAATGTAATAATATCTGATATTAGTCTAAGCTGATTTGAGATGTAATATCATTTAATATTAGGTAGTCCAAGCTCTCCTTTTTTGTGTGGAATATACCCCAGATTCTTATTAATCCTTGTTCGTTTCTTTCCATTACAGTAATTATTTATCAGCTTCTGCCAGTCTTTCAAATATGTTTCTCCAGTCTTTATTGGGAGCATCCAAAATACAAAATTAAGTTTAGAGATAATCTTCATTTTGCATAATGCTATTCTACCAAACCATGACAATTTTAATTTTTGATACTGATTTATCTGTTCATTAATTTCTTTCTTCAATTTATCCAATGAATTCCATGTGATATGAATTCCTAAGTATTTAAGTGCATTTTCTATTCTTCCTTTTAATTCTTTTTTCATTTCCTTCTTATCTACTTCAAAATAATTTAATAAAATACATTTGGATTTCTCCCAATTCACTTTGAAGAAGTGCATTTTCTATTCTTCCTTTTAATTCTTTTTTCATGTCCTTCTTATCTACCTCAAAATAATTTAATAAAATACATTTGGATTTCTCCCAATTCACTTTGAAGCCAGTTATTTCTTCAAGTAAATGTAAATGTCTTCTAATTTTCTGCAGTGTGTCTTTTGGGGTTTTAATTATTAATAATGCATCATCCACAAAAAGGGTTATTTTATCCTCCTCTCTAGTATCTATGCCTTTAATTGAACTATCATTTCTGATTACTCGTGCCAGCACTTCTATTCCCAATGTAAATAAAACTGCAGATAAGGAGCAACCCTATCTTGTTCCTTCACCTAGGAATATTGATTCTGTCATACTATCATTTATTATTATTATTGCAGAATTTTGTGAATATAGTTATTGAATTATCTGTCTGAATTGTGTGCCAAATCCTATCTGTTTAATCAATATTTTTAATGCATCCCATTCAATCGAGTCAAAGGCTTTAAAAATATCTAGGGATATTTTGATTCTTTTGCCAGGTGCATTAAATGAAGCACCTTCATTGTATCTGATATCTGTCTACCTTGTATAAATCCATTTTGATCTTTCTCAATATATTTCCCTATGAAATTGTTTAATCTTGCTGCCAAAATTGCTGTAAATATTTTAGCATCTTGATTTATCAATGAAATCAGCCTGCAAGACTCCATATTTATACAGATTTTAGGTAAAGGTAAAGGTTCCCCTTGACAATTTTGTCCAGTCATATCCGACTCTAGGTGGCGGTGCTCATCTCCGTTTCCAACCCACAGAGCTAGCATTTGTCCGAAGACAATCCTCCGTGGCCAGCGTGACGAGACACAGAACGTCGTTTACCTTCCCACCGAGGTAGTACCTATTTATCTATTCGCATCTTTGTATTTTTGCATGCTTTTGAACCGCTAGGTTGATGGGAGCTGGGACAATCAACGGGGGCTCACTCCGTTGCGTGGATTCGATCTTACGACTGCAGGTCTTCTGACCTTGCAGCACAAAAGGCTTCAGTGGTTTAACCCACAGTTTCACCACAGTTTTTACCCAGTGTTAAAATTAAAACTATTAATGAATCTTTCCAGGACTGGGGAATTTTTTCTCCATTTAATATACCACTGTACAAATCTTTTAATTTTGGAATAAGAATTTTTTTTTGAAAGTTTTATAAGTTTTATTCTGGGCCTAGTCCAGCTGTGCCAGGTGTCTTCCATAGCTTTAACTTATTTGTAACTTCTATCACTTTCTCTGTAATTGTTCTCTCCATTGTTTCTCTATCCTCGTCAGTTAATACTTTTTTAAAATTCTTTTTTCAAATATTCTTTAATCTTTTCTGTAGAGGGATTCAGCAAAATCCATTCCAAGATATATATTTTGTTAGCTATTTATCTACCTTAAATGAAAAACACTGAGAGCTGATTAAAACTTGCAGCAAAAACTAACAAAGAAATTAACAGTGGAACATATTTAACATGCTTATTTTCCATTGAATTTGGTTATTTTGGCTTTTGTGTGTTACAATATCATCAATTTCTGTGTTATAGTACCACAAGATGAAGCTAGACACAGAAATTAAAAGAATGGCTGAAATCCTGATGCTGTAGCTTGTGTAGGGCTAATGATACCAGCGGTGGCTGCTATTTTTTGGAAATTAAATATTCCAATTCTTCTTGAAGTCCCAAAACACCTGGCAATATATTTCATAATCAGGAAGCCATAAGGCACACTGGATAGGAAGGAGAAACTTTCATTACCAAAAATCGCTGCTGCTGGGATGACTTCTTAAACCATACTTATCAGTATGATTAAAGCTATGCAACAAAGCTCTTGACAGAACTGATTGGTAACATATACTTAGCACATGTCCTGAAAACCCAGCTACACCACATCATGGCTGGTATTGAAAGTACAGACCAATAATTTAACATATTAAGAACACACGTGATCTCCCCCCCCCAAAAAAGAAACAATTCTGCCAGGATCTTATCTAGGGAGCTGGGGTGGGGGAAGAAACTGGGAAAGTTGCTTAAAGAGGCCATCAGCATAAATTCTCCAAAACAAAACATATCTCCAATATTATTTCTCTTTATTCCCTGACACATGAAAAAAATAAAACTTTTTGTTTCTTCAAATATCTTCTGATAGTTTTGCACTTTTGTTCTTCTCTAGCAAAGGCAAGAGTGGAGATGATCTAATAAAGAATGAAAGTTACATCACCACACAGTAGAGAAGACAAATAATAATAAACATGAAGTATACTAGATTAAAAACTGAATCTGTTACAACTGTTACATTTTTTTTTACTGTACACCTGAAAAGTTTACCCCATTCAAGGAATAGCTATACAGGAAATGACTATAAACATGCACTATCCTAAATCAGAAAATCATGCCAGAAACAAAAGCAATGGAAAAATGTCTAGAGATGAGAAATCAACAAATTGGTCATTTGCTTAGCCCTGGTCTTGCATTCCATATCATAAGCTGTATGAGGGCAGTGACTTTATTTTACAAAATTAATAAATTAACCAGTTAATTACATTTTACCATTTGTATTTTAATTTTTGATTCTAATTATTTATGGTTTCAATGCATATTGAGAATGATGCAAAATACATAAAATAAGCAATAAATTCTGGAACTGCCCACGTAATGTGATTATTTGTTGAATTTTCATAAAATAAAGACAGCAGAATTTGAATGCAAGAGCTAAAAAAAGAAACACAAATCAATAAATATAATTAATCCAATGATCCAATACATATTAGATGTGTGTTCATGCTCATAAATACTATTTTACAAAGATGTCACAGTCATGTTGCTATGGCTGAAATCCTGTTGCTTACATAGTGTCCACTGAATCACTGGAATCTTGCAAAGGGCCTACTTCAGTTGCAACTTACTTTAGCTAGCAAGCTGCAACTAAAGTAGACCCATTTGAACCAATGGAATTTAGAGTTAATTTACCAAATCCGCAGATTTAATGAACCTACTCTAGTGCAACTTACAACACTAAGCAACAGGATTTCATTCTATGCCTTCAAAGCTACAATTGGGTATAAGTAAAAAATAAATCTTTCATCATCTCCTTTTTATCTTTTACATAAATATTTGCCTCTTCTAATGCAACAATTAATGGACATCCTAGTTTAGATGAAGTACAATTTTTATTACTATCTTTCTTTTACGCGCAGTTGTCTTGGGCTTCTAAGTGTGAATATTTCATTCAAATTATTTTGATATCAGTATTTATCAGTATTTCACACTGTATTATGTGAACAACTGACAGCATGCTCATTTGTATTACGAACCACAAGATCTCTCCTCCTAGAATTACTTGCTCTGCTTCTGTGTGACCCACTGACATCCACGGAGGAGCTCTTAAGAACAAGCAGAAGATAATGAATTTCAAAGTTAAATTAAGTGGGGAAAAAAAGCTTAATGGAAATTTTAATTCTTGGATTTCCTGTGAATTCTAATGAAGAATTTCAACTGGATGTTAATTAACATCATTGTACTCATGACTGCAATTCTCATACTTCTAATTCTCACCACAGCTATTAACACAATGCATCTCAGTGTTAACTATTCCACCATCAACAAGCCCCTCCAACCTACTACTCTCCAAATTTATTAAATCCCTAAAACATAACAGTCAAAATAGCTGTGGCTGATAAGAGTGAAAGTCAAACACAACGGACTGGAGAAAACTGTGTTACGTGTTTGGATTAGATTGCATCAAGAAATTCAAGTATAATCTGTGCATCAAATATTCTGTACAGTATGTCTGGCCAAAATAAGTCCACTAGCAAAATGAGACTTTCTACTCCTTTCTCAGCACAGAGCACCAAAAACTGTTCCACAAAATCTCCCAGTAAACAACAGCACATTTTGAGAGAAAATGGGGGACCTCAGAGGCAATGCCCGCCTCATTTTACTGACAAAAAGTGTTGAAATTAGCAGATATAGAGAAATTAGTGCAGATGATTAAATCAGAACACATACATACACCCCACTTCACATTAATATATAATATTTTATGAATATCAAAGGCAACATTAAAGTACTAACCCTCTGACTAGCAGAAGCTCGAGTGGAACCCAAGTCATCTGTTCCCTAATCACAAAATTAAACCAAATATGAAATGACAGATTTAAAAAGAAAACAGATAAAAGTAAAGAGCAACATTATAGGCTTCTACAAACCAGATATGACCGCCGACTGGAGCGGTGTGAATACCTAGCCTTCTCTGAATCTTCCTGAGAAGGAAAATATCAAATGTTATTACAGTATTTAGGAAAAATAGGAACAACAGAGAACAACACAAAGGTCATTCAGACATAGTTGAAATCACTGACCCACTGCCCAAAGAAGCTTCCTCAATTCTTCTTTCATTTGCCTTATGTGAGCTTACCATGCACCACTGGTTCATCTAAATATATCCCAGATGACCCAATAAGTTACAGTAAGTAATCAATTATCAATAGATTTGCAACCTGATTTTTCAAAAATATATTAAATTGATTGATTGAACTTCTGATCAATTGAACTTGAATATAATTATGACTAAATCCTTTTCTTAGATAATCATGCTTTGTTTATAGATTTTGCACATGTGTATTATGACACAGACAACCTGGGAAGAGGCATTCCTCCTGTGAAGTAATGGAAAGGAAAATGTCTACTTTAAGATGCTTTCTGCCATGTGCAATTTCTGTAAACACTTATACTAACATCTTTTTAACCAGTTAAGAGTATTTGTACAAATAATCTGACCAACCAATTCATGCTTTCACTGCTACCTATGTAAGACAAATTGCTGGTGTGTAAGAAATACACATGCAACTAAGAATGGTGCCAGCAAAAATCAAACCCTTGTCACTTTGTGGAAAATTGTGCAAAGCACTGCTGTGTCTGACTCAGAGGTGAGGACTGCCTGTTCTGCTTTATAATAAGAACTTTAAAATAATGTTTATGCATTAAACCAGTCCTTCATCCATCCAGCCCATCCTTCAAGAAGATCAGGGCAGTACACATGATTCATTCCCACCCTATCTATTTTATTATTGTAAGCATCCTACAGGGTCATTCAGCTGGTTCAAAGTCACCTGGTTAACTTCATAGTTAAAGTGTCATTTGAAATAGGGTCTCCAGAGCCCTAGCATCGTATTAAGTACTACACCATACTGCTTTGGCAATTACTATATTTATTATATTCGTGTATGGTTAATATACATTATTGACAGCATAATTCACAATAATATCAACAATGCTCAGTTCAAAATACATAACATTATAAAGTTCCAGAAAGTATATCTGTGGGAAGGACACCACAACCTACTTAACACATTAACCTGAGATTCAGCAAGCAAAAACTGAGTATGAAAAATATTTACAAAATCTGCATGATCCCCATCATCTTACAAAATGTACACAATGAGAAAGTGTGCCACAATATTATGTGCCTTACATCTCCATTTATTCACTTCAGAAATTATGAAATGTATTTAGTACACAATCCAGCCAATGACGTGCACTTTTAAATTCCAGGGACTACAAGTGGGGAATTAAACAATCATTTTTCTCAGTTTCTACTAATGCAATGTATTACTTTATTAGTTTTATATGTTTTACACATTTTCTTTTATAAATGCCTTCATAGGTTTCAGAATATTTTCTCAACTCATTATCGTTGTCACTAGAATTTCACACACTGTACAAAATATTAGTAGATGAAACACTCCAATCAGATTAATTTTCCAAGTATAAAACACCACACAACAGGCAATCCTGTCCTACCATCCATTTCTGGATATGTCCCCATTTTCTATCATAAGACCGCTGAGAAAGCTAAAAGAATGGTGAAAATAATCTTATTTACAAGGATACATACAACATTTCCAATTATAATCCCCACCCCTCTCATAGATTCTGTTCACAAAATACAGAAAAGAATATATATTTCAATTGTATTTAGAAAATTATTTTAGTTTCATATTTGACCTCCACAGTGGTATTCTATTCGAAAATACCATCAAGTATTATTCAAGAGAACAAAATGAACCAATTTAAATGCAATAGAGGAAAATCCAGAAAAACTATGATTACAAACAAATCAAACAGATTAACAAGGAATCACATCATGGATTACATACGGACTTGGCCATACTTAAGAGATCTGTTAGAAAGCTGTCATACACTGACTGAGACCAATGGTCAACCAAAACCAGTATTGTCAACTCTGGCTGACAACAGCTATCCAGGATTTCAGACATGAGTCTTTCCTAACCCAACCTGCATATGCCAGGAATTCAACTTCACCGAAAGCTGTATATTCACTGCTTTACATTGTAGCCAGGTATAATTTCTTCAGTGTTGTCACATGAAAAGATATACTAAAATATATCTTTACATGTGTATAAGATGATACTTTTATCTAGAATCTTTAGACTAAAAATTGAGGGTTGTCTTATACACAGAAGTAAGGGGAAAGGGTTCAAAGCGCTGCAGAATTGCAGCCCTTTGATCACTACTTTCCCTGCCACTTAGGGCTTAGGAAGTGGAGAGGGAAAGCAGCCATGAAAGGGCTGCAGAATGAAAGGGCTGTGATCCTGGAGCCCTTTCATCGCTGGCTTCCCCCTCCACTTCTGCAGCCCTTTGATCCTGCTTTCACAGGGCTTAGGAAGTGAGGGGGAAAGCAGCCACCAAATTTTCTAATTTGGGGTTAGAAAAGTGTGGATTGTCTTATACATCGGGTTGTCTTAGGCATGGAAAAATACAGTACAATATATATAAAACAGAATTTTTCCTTATAATTTTTAAGTTACTTTGGACTTAATACAGACTGCACATATTACTTTACTCCATCACCACACACGTTCACATTTCTTGTCACAAAAGAATGAAAAATACTTTCAATATGGGTGTGTTGTTATAAAATTACACAACAAAATTATTCAAGGGATGAAAACATGTTGAGTTGCTATGCAAATGGACAGCAGACAACATAACATTATGTCATTTCTAGCTAGCAATTAAGAAGCTGCTGCTGTGAATCTCACGGTCACACATTCAACAATGCCAACTTGGCATGGCACAAACTCATGATCCCAGGAAGGACTGGATTACTGATAGCAAGAAGGCACTGAAAGTTATGCTGTCTGCCTTCCACATGGGTAAAAGAACAACGGAATTCAACCAAGGAGTACATGTTCTTGTAAAAACACATCATTCTGTTTTTCAAATTGGAAGTGTTCTATTAGATGTTTAATTTTTTAAAAAATGCATATTTGTACGAGGAACCTACATGTTGTTGAAATTACTATTAAATCAACATTGACCTATCTATTATTGATTGTCATTTTCATTTGATAAGAATATATTTTTGCAGCTCATCTGTGAATACTATAGGCTCTCTCACTGAGCACATGCCAGTATTTTAAACCTGAGGATCACACAAAAGCAAAGTGCTTGGAAACCAAAGAAACTATAGAAATCAGCTGCAGTTTTATTTATTTTGTACATACAATTGCTCAAAGGCATGACGTTTTTGTGTGCTTGGAAGACTGATCAATGAAAGTTAACCTACATCATAGCAACATAATATGCCACAATGCATATCCTCATGCGTGCCTGGAATGTGGTGAGAGACAAGTCTATAAAAATCAAGCAAGATCTTCTCAGATGTTGTTAACTCCATCTTCCAATACAGTGGCTCTCCAAACACATTCTAGACCTCAAGGTATGCAGATACAACGAAGGAAAAGCAGCAAGAAAGCCTTGTTGCTTAAGTGGCCTCACATTTGTACAAATTTTTTATACCTTACACTATTCCATAATATCTTTTAGTTTTAACACTGAACAGGTGTTACAAGATGTTACATAATATTCCATTAGCATAATGGAAATCATTTTCGTACAAATGTAGGAAATAATCAAAGTTTCATACTGCTATTTGGTCTGAAACATATACTACGGCCAGATCCTATTTAGTTAGATACATCAGCGTTAAGTGCAACAGAATAAATCACAGCAATAAACTGCTGCTATTTTTGAAACTTATATGCTTTATAATGCACTACTTGCATGACTTGGGGTAAAAGGGACAACTCATTAACAAGTGGCAACTAGCTAAAACAACTCACATTACTGCACTTACATTAGTGCAACTGACCCATATGGATTTCCCCCTATACTTTGTATTTTCTTTATGAGTGTGACACAACCTTAAAATCCAAGCTGAAAATAATCTCTGGAACTTTTATGGTATGTAGCAGTTGAAATGTAAGGGGCCAGTTCAAGTTATTAATTCTGATACATTACACAGAATACCCAGAATTTTATTCTCAGTATTACTGCTCCAGTACCTCCTTCTGTTGTCTTTCCAGTTCTCTCATACGTATGTCCCTTGCTTCTGCTCGGGCTGCACGTTTAGCTGCCAGTCGTGCTTCTGCCTGTAATGATGAAAGAAAATGTCAAATCTCTGATGCAAAAATAATTTCAATAAAGAATAAATAACAACTAGAATCCAGCATACAAAAGCAAAGAATTATGCTGACTTCTTCATTTACAGTAATTCACCACACAGATTTATGCTGGTTGTGTTTTGTTTGCATAATCAAATAATACAATTCTGGCAACTACGTACTTAAATGACCACTGATCAAAATGTCTGATTTGAAGATCCAGAAATCTAACACAAGTACAATAAACTCTTAAAATTTATCTATGAAGCAAAAGGTTAGAACATCATTTTCAGTAATTGGCTTAAAGCTATCAGTAAACATTAATTACCCTGTTTCCCCAAAAATAAGCCTAACTTGAAAATAAGCCCTAGTATGATTTTTCAGGATGCTTGTAATACAAGCCCTACCCCCAAAATAAACCACATTTACTGTAAGTGAAACCCTGCCCTCCACCCAGCAACCAGAAGATGACATGACTGTATTGTGTGCTGTCTCAAAATGTATATTATTATTATTATTATTATTATTATTATTATTATTATTATTATTATTATTATTATTATTATTATTATTATTATTATTATTATTATTATTATTATTATTATTATTATTATTATTATTATTATTATTATTATTATTATTATTATTATTATTATTATTATTATTATTATTATTATTATTATTATTATTATTATTATTATTATTATTATTATTATTATTATTATTATTATTATTATTATTATTATTATTATTATTATTATTATTATTATTATTATTATTATTATTATTATTATTATTATTATTATTATTATTATTATTATTATTATTATTATTATTATTATTATTATAATATTCGACTTATCTACCGCCCCATAGCGCTACAAGCACTCTCCGGGCGGTTTACAATTTTTAATTATACAGGCTACACATTGCCCCCCCAGCAAGCTGGGTACTCATTTTACCGACCTTGGAAGGATGGAAGGCTGAGTAAACCTTGAGCCGGTTACCTGGGATTTGAACCCCAGGTCGTGAGCACAGTTTTAGCTGCAGTACAGCGTTTTAACCACTGCGCCACGAGGCTCTATATCTATACCTTTTCCCATAAAAGTAAATTAAAATCTTTCAGTAGCCTCCTTCCCCTTGGGGTAATGTTATACTCGAATGAACATTGAATCTTCTAGGTATGATGTGGCTGTAAATCAGGGGTCTCCAAAGTACGGCCCACGGGCCACATCCAGCCCACTTGGCCTTTTTATCTGCCCCATCTGTGCATGTGGGTGGGAGAGCGTGCAGGCAAGCGGACAGGAGTGTGGGCTCACGTATTCGTGCATGGGCGTGTTCCTTTGGCCCTCGAAAATATTGCAAATATATTGCCCTTTGTGTGAAAAGTTTGGAGACCCCTACACTAAATGGATAAAACACAACAATCCAGAACTACAGATCAAATCATAGTATTTCTCCTTATTTTCTTTTTAAAAAATAGCCACATTTAGAAACTGAAGAGATTCGACTTAGCCCAACTGGTTCATCTGCCTCTATCTTATGTAATTAATTGGGTAAAGGACAGCGAATAAAAGACTAGTACAAACGAGAGCAATTCTTTATTCCTCTTGTCCTTTACATACAAGTAGCATATTACCAAAGTGACAGGGCGTAGTTAGCAAAACTGCATTAATGATATTGTATATACAGTGGTGCTTTGACTTACGAACGTAATCCGTCCCAGAAGATGTTCGTAAGTCAAAACGTTTGTAAATCAAATCAGCATTTCCCACTGAAATGCATGGGAATGGGATTAATCCATTGCAGCATTTCAAACAAACACAAAAATAAAAATAAACAGAGCAAACCCCACGCTGTGACTGCAAAAAAAAAAAAATCCACCAGAAACAAAACAACACCGACCCTCAATCCGCCCCCCCACCAACAAAACAAAAACTTTTTTAAAAAGGCAGCACCTTACCGGTCCGAAGCCTCCTGGGCTTCCACCACCACTGTGACCGCCGCAGCCAGGAGGCTTGAGCATGCCGGTGGTGCTTTGGCCGCTCGCCTCCCACTCACCCCTTGCCGGCCACTGTGAACTGAGGCTGCCGCTGGTGTCCAACGCTGGCTCCAGTTCCGGAACCGGCACCAGCAGCTGCTCGCTGGGGCGGCTGCGTTGGCCCTCAGCACTCCTCGCCGCCATCCACGGGCCAATGGCAGGAAATTCAAATGGCAGAGGGTGGCAAGGAGTGCCGAGGATTGTTGATGCCAGTTCCAGAGCGAGCGGGAGGCAAGCTGGGAGGCGAGCAGCCGAAGCATCCCGGCCAGGCTCAAGCCTCCTGACACTGGGCCACCGCTGCTTCCACCGCGCCCGGGGGGGGAGCAGTCGAAGCACCCCCGCCAGGCTCAAGCCTCCTGACACTGGGCCACCCCCGCTGCCGCTGCCACATCCCTTTCCTGAACCGTTGGGGCGAAAGAGCTACAAAGAAGCAGCCTTTTTGCCACCAACAGTTAGTACTTTTAAATTTCCCACCCTTTTCCCTGCCTGTTTTGTTCGTAAGTCAAAGCTCCATTCGCAAGTCAAAACAAAATTTTGTGAAGGGATCTGTTCGTAAGTCAAAGTGTTCGTACACTGGAGCGTTCGTAAGTCAAGGCACCACTGTATTCCACAACTCAAAGTATATGTAGCCTTTTCATGAACTAGTTACTCATCTCTAATTTGTGGCAATCCAAACTAAGCCTCATTAAACCTATAGAGAGTTGTGCAGAAATGCAACAGAAGAAAATTAACGATATGCCCAGTCTAACAAAGGATTCAGGATTAGTTCAATTAAATGCACTGTACAAAATTAGGTCAAAAGAAAACTGTAACTAATTTTAGTGAAGGTTCAAAACGTAAATATTTATATTCATACACTTCATAATACTCAAAGCACATGCCTGTGAAACAAAGAGATTGAAGAGAGTCAAGGTTCTATAGTGGTTAAACTTATCACACTGTCATAAGGTGTTGTTGTTTTTTTAAAGAGTAACTTCCTACACATTTGTTTTAAGGAGCAAAATTTAATCATGACATTATGGTTACAATTTAATTGGTGGCAGAGTTCAGTGGAACTCCTCCCCCCCTTATGACCTCATACAGCCATACCAACCTCTCTAGCGATGTTACCCAAAGCTTCATCTTCTGCAGAAAATCTATCTTTTACTGGAGTTCTTTTCCGTCCTGACCCAGGAGTCCCCATGTTTATATATGCACGTGGTAATTTTCTGACAAGATTGGGTCAGACCCAAGTATCCACACCTGAAAAAAAGTGGAAAAATTATTAATACCACTTTTAAAACATGCATATGTTTACATCCTGCTCTACAGCAAAGTTTCACTGGTACCCTTCATAGCTGAGTAGGCTAGGCCATTCACAAGGGACAATGCCATCCTCTAAATTAGTATCTAGATCAGCGATGGCGAACCTATGGCACACATGCCACAGCTGGCATGCGGAGCCCTTTCTGCCGGCACATGAGCCATAAGTCGCCAGATCGCTACTCCGCCCTCCCACGCAGCCAAACCTGAGAACGTGGCTGCAACCACTTCGACAGGCGGATCCAGAGCAGCTGGTGCTAGCAGCGGATCAGGAGTGGGGTCCTGAGGCACCTCCATGCCGGGATTCCCCCTTCTGCCGCCACTTACGGTTCCGCCACCATTAGTTTCCTGCTTTCCTGCAGAAGACTGGATTTGCCAACACTGAAACACAAGGGAGGCGGTTTGCAAGCTTTGGTATCCAATTTCGGAGCCAAAGTAATTTTTGATAGTTGGCTCTCTGGGAAAGGAGGAAATGCAGCACCTCAGAAACTGTTTTTCTCTGGCCTATGACAGGAGAGAGTATCCCTCCTCTCAAAAGCTGGGGCAGAGTTTCCTCCAGAAGGGGCAGAGAAAGGGAGAAAGCAAGCTTCCTGCAGCTGCTCGTTTCAAAAACAGGTGCCAAAGCTGATCTTCCCGCTGGTTGTGGTGTTCTGGGCTGTGTGTGTGTGTGTAGTTGTGTGCAATCTCCCAGGGGCTCATGCTTCTGGTGGCAGAGTTCAGTGGAACTCCTCCCCCCTTATGACCTCATCTGCCAGTCTTCTTATCAAGCTGCTTGCAGCTAGTTTTCCCCCATCCCAACCCCAATCTTTCCCAGGTATTTGAAACTCTTCATTTCCTTCCTCTACTTTCTTCTGAGAACTCTTGTCTGCTTGAATGTCGACTACTAAAAGCAATTTAAACTTCTGATCCCGCCCCCACGCCCCCGCCCCACCCTGTTTCTTTCCCCTCAGTTTGGGCACACAAGCCCAAAAAGATTCACCACCACTGATCTAGATAATAAAACTGTATGTATATATAACAAAATCAACTCAACTGAACTTAGTACATCTGTTTGCTCCATTCGAACAGTTAGGAGTGACCATGTCTACTGCCTGGGCTACTGCCACATTCTAGAGGTCATACAGAACATCAACAAAATTGCTTGTTAGGTAACAGGAAATGCCCAAGAAATGTCAGGAAACTATCCGCATCTATCAGCCTCCTAAAGCAAACTGCCTTAAATGTCCCACTTCCATTGAATCTCTAAGTCCCATCAGTCTAAGCCCTTCTAGATAACGGAAACACTGAAAACGCTGGAAAATGTTTTTAAAAGTCACAATATTTTCTCTTTTGAAATTAGTGTACAGTATTGCTTTTTAAGTAAGATTTTATTCACCCAGAACTGCATAGTATGTAAATGTGCATTTAAGACAGAGTAAAGAATTATAAAACAATTCCTCTGTACTCTCTAGAAATATGTATACAATGTGTAAAACCAAGAAACAGTTCTCTACCATCTTCAAGAGAGGCCTTCAATGACTATAGACTTGTCTTCTTCTGTCTTTTTTTCTTGCGTGATGGATATAATTACAGTAGAACCAACTCTGTTTCTATCCAAATAACACACTTTATTTTATTTATTAAACATTTCTAATATCTCTTTCCATTTTCTCTCTACTTGACAGATGGGAAAATATAAAACATGCAGTCAAGCAGCATACTGCAGTTTACAGCTGTCTCTTTAGCATAAGGCACGCATACTAAGGTATGAAAAATTTTATTTACTAAAGCAGTAAAATAAGTTTAGGGGAGATGTGTAAATAAACTGTACATTTAAAAAATTTTCAAAACTGGGTTTCCCCCCGATTTTATTTTGTTTCCATGGTGTCGGCATTTTCTGAAATTTCACATTTTTATTTAGGAGCTCACTGAAGATAGAGAAACAGACTAAAACACAGTGCACCCCCATACCCACGGGACCCTTTGGAGCAATAGTTTTATTACGAACCTCCTTTCCAAAATTGTATTGATTCTTGCTTAGAGACTTTCCCTTTTCCTTTCACTAATCCAGATTCAATGAATCTACCCCAAATAGCATTAAAATATTTAAACTTATTTCCCCTCTTTTAATCTGAAATTCAGTAGTCAATTTATCATTTAACGCAATGTCCCATACTTCATTATACCAATCTTCTAATTTAATATCATTTTTATCTCTCCAGAATCTAGCTATTAATATTCTAGCACTTGTCATAAGATTAGAAATCCATTCCTTTGAGCAATAATCAAGTTCTATATCAAAAATTGACAGCAAATTTTAGAATTAAATTTTCCAAATATAAAACATATTCCCTCAAAAATCAATTTCTGAAATTTCTGAATCAATTTACACTCCCACCACATATGATAGTATGTGCCAATTTCTTCCTCATATTTCCAACAGGCCTTAGCATAGTCTGAATTTATTATGTTCAATTTCACTGGAGTCATGTACCACCTTAAACTAATTTTTTAAAAATTTCCTTTATTCTTACCGACTCTCACCTTCCAAATTTTTGTCCACTACTCTGTCTTAATTTCTGTCTTTAAGTCATGTTCCCAAGTTGATTTCAATTTTGTATTTTTGTATTTGTTTTGGAAATTTAAATAAACTAAAATAAAAAAGATAGAGAAACAGAAACCATCACAATCTATGAAACACTGAAAAACCCCAGCTATTATCTGATAAAGCCTGCATTTCTAGAAGTTTAGGTGTTTTCATGTCTCGAAGTTCAAGTTGAATAACCATCTTCTCACATTCTCCAGATTCAATATCTTATTATCCAATACAGTCATTAAGAATGCCATGAGGCCATAGTTGGACTACAGCTCCTCTTACCACAGATTAAAAGTTGGTGGAAGATGATGGGGATTAGAGTCCAACAACATCCAAACAGTAACAGATTGCCCACACTTCTAGCAAACTAGCATTTAATCATTCAGAAACTGAGGCAAATTATACAGTGGGGTCTCGACTTACAAACTTAATCCGTATTGGAAGGCGGTTCGTAGGTCGAAAAGTTCGTATGTCGAATCTGCATTTCCCCTAGGAATGCATTGAAAACCATTTAATCCGTATCTGCTCTTTTCTGTCCATAGACACTAATGAGAAACTAATGGGAAGCTGCTATTCCACCTTCTGCCAATAGAGGGGGATATTTTTTCTTTTTTCCTTCTAACCTAAGATGACTAAGCTTTAAAAAAAGCGAAAAAAAGAGTTCGTAACTCGAATCTAAGTTCGTAAGTCGAGTCCATATATTCCTATGAGAGCGGTTCGTAAGTCAAAACGTTCGTATGTCGAGCTGTTCGTAAGTCGAGACCCCACTGTATACAATTCACCATATGATTTAATATGTTGCTTGTCCTAATTCTCCTCCACTGTGAGAATTAGTTCATGGTTCCAGAAGCCTCTAAGGGGAGGGAGGGGGCACTTTTTCCCTGTTCGTAACTCGAGGGAAGTTCGTGTGTTGAGCATGTAATTTCCTATTGGGCGGGTTCGTAAGTCGAAAAGTTCGTATGTAGAACCGTTCGTAAGTCGAGACCCCACTGTACTTCATTTAAAACCAAGGCCAGTTAGCAGTGAATTAGTACTTGCAAGGAGAGGATGGTATAGTGGTGCCTCGCTTAGCGACGTTAATCCGTTCCAGGAAAAACGTCACTAAGGGATTTCGTCGCTAAGGGAAATAAAAAAGCCCACAGAAACGCATTAAAACATGTTTAATGCGTTCCTATGGGCTTGAAAACTGACCTTATGCGAAGATCCTCCATTGCGGCGGCCATTTTGGGTGCCTCTAAAGCGAGGCAACACAGCGGGCGGCCATTTTGTTTACCCGGCAGCCATTTTGGAACAGCCGATCAGCTGGCCGAAAATGGGGGCTTTGCGATGTTCTCTTCCGCACGATCATCGCAAAGTGAAATTCCCCCATAGGAAACATCAGAAAGCGATCACTTTTGCGATCGCAAAAACAGCGTCACAAAGCGATTTCGTCGCTCAACGGAGCGATCGGTAAGTGAGGCACCACTGTATTCACAAACCCAAGGCTATTCCACATAGTCACATCTAAAAACAAATAATGTTTGAAAAACAAAGTCCTCTTCATCTCAGTACAGGTTATTTCAACTTCAGCCTCCAAGCATGATTAATTTATCTAGTCTTTCTCTCACTCATAGTCATAGATATCAGTTTGATTAGGATCTATTGGTACATATCCAGGAGATTTGCAGTAGATTACTAAGGATCTGTCCAGACAGGGGAATTTAGAGCAGTGGTTCACACTTTAAAAGTTCTTATCTTCAGCATCTCAGTACAGGTTATTTCAACTTCAGCCTCCAAGCATGATTAATTTATCTAGTCTTTCTCTCACTCATAGTCATAGATATCAGTTTGATTAGGATCTATTGGTACATATCCAGGAGATTTGCAGTAGATTACTAAGGATCTGTCCAGACAGGGGAATTTAGAGCAGTGGTTCACACTTTAAAAGTTCTTATCTTCAGTTCAGTGCAATTTATCTTTCCATTTGCACTGGAGATGTTTACAGTGGTGCCTCGCTTAACGTTTGCTTCGTTTAACGTTTTTTTCGCTTAACGTTTATTTTTTCAGAGGCAGATTGTGCTTCGTATAACGTTTTTCCCTATGGGCAATTTTCGCATAGCGTTTTTGGGACCATGCTTCGCTTAACGTTTTTGGTTTTAGGTCCCCTGCTTCGCTTAACGTTTTTTTTGTTTTCAATTTAAAAAGTGTCTTAGAAGGGTCCAAAACGGTTCTAAATGCTTGGATTCGTTAGAGGACCCCTTAAGTCATGTGCAAACCTGATTTGGCTTTGATCTGAACTTTCGTTAATTTTTTGTAAATTGTTTTCTCCCCCATAGGAAAGCATGGAGCTGTCAGATTTTGACAGGTCCATTGGTTCCTATGGGCC